TGGGATCGGCCCGGCCGATCGCCACATCGTCCCGGGACGATCAGACCAAAATCGATCGTCCTGGACGACTCCCAGAACTATTCTCAGGACGATATTTTCTACAGTGCCGATCGTCCTGGACGATCTCAAATCGTCCTGGACGATCCCGAGAGGAAAATCCAAATCAGAGAGGAACAGTAAGGGAACGAGGTCTCACAACATTAAACGCTAATGATTGTGATGTCGGCAATCATCAGCCTTTAATGCGGGGGTCCACAAGGTTTTCATAATCCACGTCAGCTCCGAGCGAGAGCCGTTAGATCACCCGTCGTATGATTCGAATGGCTCAGATTGAACCGTATCTTTAAACGAGACCGAGGGATCACTACAGCAGTCGGACCGTGCCGCAGTTAGGCCGAATATGGATCGTTGATCTCAGGATCGACGTTTAGAACAATCCAAGCGAACAACCTACGAGACCAAAATCCTAAAAACAAAAAAAGACTCGTTCTCCCTAGATACTCAATCAATTCCAACAAAATTTTAAACACATATTAAGCATATGAACATAAACTTTGGGGGATTATTTTGAAGATTTGAAAGTCTCTCATTGAAAAGTTATATAAACCTAAGTGTAATGACCTAAATCTAGAGTTTTTTGAAGAATCTCACTATGGGATTTAGGAATTTTTAGAATATATGAGCTTGTAGACTGTCTTCGATTAAAATTCCTTCAGGAACTCGAGTTTGAGAAGCCTTAGATCGTTCACTCTAAGCCTTGGAGGGTTTTCAAGCAAGGGTGGCTGAAAATCGACCGCCGGCAGCCTTGACCGGTCGCCTTTGGCTTGGGGGAAGTGGAGGGAATATAGGAGGTCTCTCACACAAAAGCCCTCGGGCTTTGGAGGCTTGGAGAGAGTCAAAGAGCCAAAAGTGTCCCCCATAATTTTAGACCTATGATCAAGGGTCTAGATCTCTCCTCAGGCTGATTAGGAGGAAATTAATCCCCTTGGCCATGGTTTTGGCCAAGGGATGATTAGGAAGGCTTTTAATGTTTTAAATGGAGGGGATTTGACCTAAATTGGTGAAATTTGACCATGTAGGGCTAGGTTTGACCAAGGCATGAATTGACCTAGTCAACATGGTCAATTAGACCCAAGTAGGTGGGGGTTGAGCCTAAGATGGAGTAGAATGGGTTTGAATTTGGTTAGGACTTGACTTACCCAATAGAGCTTAATGTGTCAACCTGGGTTGACCACCAGGGCACAAGTTTAGGCCCAATGTGTTGGGTTTGACCTATTGAATCCAAGGAAGGTGTGAAATTGAGCCAAGGAGGTATGAATTTGATTTGAAATCAAAAGGAGAGGTATTGGGTCAATTTGGGTTAACCCAGGTTGACACCCAAGGCCTAGGTCTAGGCTCAGCATATTTAGTTTAACCCATTGAACACAAGAGAGGTGGTCTTGGGACTTAACTTGGTCAATTTGACCAAGTCAATCCCTTGACCTAAGGGTTTGATGAATTCAAGGTCAACAATCATGGCTTCCAGGATGAAACTTATTACGCCTCACATTATTGATGATAATCAGGCTAGCTTCATCAAAGATAGAGTTTCTATTAATTATATTTTGTTGGCCACTGAGCTCGTGAGTGAATTCAACGCTACTCCTCATTTGAATTGGCTTTATGATAAATGTAACATTTTTAAAGCTTCTGATACATTTTTCAGATATTTCTTTTATGGATCGATTGAGCCAAAAAAGGTTTCCCTTTGTTTTTTCTTTCTTGTATCATGGGGTGCAATTATAATGTTCATTTCTCTGCCTGTATTAAATTATTAATAGTGGCTTTGAAGATTTTTTTGGCTCTTCTTCTAGCCTCAAGCAGGGTTGACCCTTATCCCCTTTATTTACTTTGTATTATGATGCATGCTCTTTCTATCATTTTATATGGCTGTATGACTAGTCATGCTTTTGAAGGTTTTAATTATGCTGATAAATCTATTAGTCACGTGTTGTATGAAGATTGTTGCGGGCTAGAATGTCGTTGGGTTCGTATTTCCGAGACGTTCAATTTGACTGTAAGCTCGCTGTAATCGGAGTTCAGGTGCTCCCGGATTTAATTTTTGAAGTCTCCAACTAGGTTTTGCCTCGAGATTCGTGCCCGATCAAGCTAATTTTGTGATGATGTATCAAAGATGATCTTTTAGTTTTTGAGAAGGCCATTTCTAAGAATAATTTCTCTTAAGAAAATGTTACATGTTTTTGCTAAACTTTCTAGGATTCATATCAATCCTGGGAAAAGCTTCTTATCTTTTCTAAACATTCTAACCATTCTGCCATATCTCTGATCTCCTTAATATTGGATAAAAATAAAGGAAATCGACAGTTTAGCTGATCTAATTATTGAACTCTTTCTTTTGATTTGTTGTTCTACGGATCAACTTAATTTTTTTACTTAATATTTATAATGCAATATCAAAATTTATTTGAATTTTGTATGATCTATATTTTTAGTTCTTTATAAGTTTGCTTCCACTAAAAATTAAGGCTAGTTCCATCCTTAAATGTGATATGTTTAAGCTTAGAGAAGCCGTCCCTTCAACTTAAAAAAAAATAATGATTTTGGTTGGAGAGAAGACCTAATTTCTAAGGAAAAAAATATGTTCATTTGGGATGGATGCAGCAATTGGTAAAATTTTTATGAAATTATTATAAGAAAAGTATCGTTCTAGTTTTTTTTTTCTCAAAAAAAAAATCTTATTGCTATTAACTGTAGCAAATTTGATCATGAAAAGCTCTTTCTTGCAACAAAAATCATCTCAAAAGTACACTTAATATGGAAGAACTAAGAACAGATGATAATAATTTCTTTCTAACATAAAAAAAAAGATATATGTTATGTACAGAAAAAAAGAGGAAAGCTGTAAATAAGGGAAGACTTTTTCATGGCTAATACCAGACAACAATTTATCTGATCTCTACTTCTGCCATGAATGAGAACTTCTCATATTGGGTACTAATTTAGGCTTAAAAAATCTCTAACTAGTGAATACTACTCAACTCATTACTGGTTCAACGATAAATCTGCTACCTCCCAGTTAACATTGTAATGGAAGCATTTGCAGAGACAATCCTTTTATCGAATGTCGACGAGTCTGTGTCACTTTGGCTCATCTCTGCTGCAAATGTAGGCTGCCTCGGCATCGGACACATAGAGTTCTCACCCTCCAACATAAGAATCACAGACGACATTGTCGGCCTATCGATTGCTCGATCCTGAACACATAACAGACCCACATTGATGCATCTTGAGACCTCCTTTACTGAGCAAGAACTTATTATAGATGAATCCACAAACTCCATCACACTGTCTTCATTCCATAGCTTCCAAGCCTACAAAAACAAACATTTTGTAAGTTTTGATTCAACCACAGAGAGTGTTTATAAGCAAAACTATGCTTCACTTACATATCCTAAGAGGTTCAGTGACAGTTCAGAATTATAGTATGTGCTGTTCCTCTTCCCGCTGACAATCTCTATTAGTAGAACTCCAAAACTATAGACATCAGACTTCACTGAGAACAAGCCTTGCATTGCATATTCGGGTGACATGTAACCACTGAATTCACGTAAGAGATATTTCTTTAGTAAGTTTTGATTTGCATAAAGAGAAGAGTCGTTCATGTGAAGAGCTTACTATGTTCCAACCACTCGCTTTGTGGTTGTTTCATTGCCGTCACTGCCAAAGATCCTCGCCATTCCAAAGTCTGATATTTTTGGATTCATATGCTCATCAAGCAAGATGTTGCTTGCTTTAAGATCACGATGTATGATTCGCAATCTCGAGTCACGATGGAGGTATAGGAGACCCCGAGCAATGCCTTCAATTATGCTGGATCTTGTCTTCCAATCCAACAGAAGTTTCCTGCTTGTGTCTGCTAAAATGTTTTATAAAATCATCTGTTAGTTACAGAAAAATAAGGAAAATGATTCATAATGAAAGGTACTTTAAGATAGGAGAAAGATTTATAAATTACCAAACAGGAAAACATCCAAGCTTTTGTTATGCATGTATTCATAAACTAGCATCTTGTCCTCCCTTCTGATGCAATAACCTAAGAGCCTGACTAGATTCCTGTGCTGTAGTTTTGCAATTAGTATGACCTCGTTTTTAAATTCTTCCATGCCTTGTCCAGAACTCCTTGAAAGTCTTTTTACAGCTATCTCTTGCCCACCAGGTAGTATGCCCTACAAAAAATATGGAAGCATTGAAATCCAAGTGGTCGGCCCTCATCGACAAGCTCAAACTTTTGAATTTAAAATGAACTGGAACACTTATGGATCAAGCTCTATTTTGATCCATCTTTGGTCCACACAAGTGACATCAATGCTGATTGTTTAGCTAGGATCAAATGTTTCATGCATTTTATGATCATATCAATTTAGTGAGATGGGCAAAGACATTAATAGTTTAGGCCTAGCCTACTTGGCTAGTCTAACTAAGCCAACCAATTCATTGGAATAAGTCGTTTGTAAATTCAATGAGGGATGTCTATGAAAAGATTTTCAGAGTACCCTAGAGACTGCTTTAATGGAAGCACCCATGCATTATCAATCTAGCTATGGCATTCTCTGTGTGTAATGTCAAGGAATCTCTGCTACCGAATGTATAACTCAAATCAGTGAAATAAATTTATTTGAAAAACATAAAAATTATGAGGAATAGTACTTTGGCGTTGATCTGGTGAGTGCTACGACACTAGGCCATGAGCAATATATATATATATATATATATATATATATATATATATTCTGGAAAAGGAAAGGACACTATGATATGAGACTCGAATACCATGCATAATTTTCTACCTACAATTCTAGACAAATTGTAATCATGTTTCTTTCTAATGTTCATTAGTAAGTTCCAGTTAAATGATTAAAATGAAATACAAATGCAATTCTTCCAATATAGATCCTGAAGTGTGAGACTAAGATTCAAGATTTCAAACTTCGATTGGTATAAAGGCTAGTTGGATCCTATCGACCATTTGATGAGATTTGAGTTTGCAAGGTCAATCAAGGTAGTCTCCAATAGTAGGAAATTATTTTTTCATTCCTGCTTCATTGTTGCCTCGATGCATAGAATAATGTTAAGGAATCTCAAGTCTTTTCGTTCTTTTGTTTTGTCGTTGGTTATCCAATACTAAGAAATTGGAGGACAAATCTATACCCATATCTACCCAAATCGAGTTGATCAAGTCAATTCTATGAGATAACCCAAGCTACAATTGATTTGTGTTTATTAGCTTAGGCTAAGCTATATAAGCTAATTAGCTCATTGGAATAATTCATTTGTGAGGAGTTTCCTACATGGAACCTTCTACTACAAGTTGCTCAAGAAGCATCCAACAACCTAAAAAGGGAAATGATGGACCAGCTGATTTGATTGTGAGGGAATTAAGAAGTTTTCCAATCAAGAGAGAGATATTTAGGGAGGTTCTTAATCAAAGAGAATTGATTAGAAAATATTTTCTAATTGAAGAATTGGGGGCTGATTTAGAGGGGATTAATTAGGAAATATTTTCTAATTGAATTAGGGCTGATTTGGAGGCAGATTTGGAAGGGGATTAATTAGGAAATATTTCCTAATTGAATAGGGCTGATTTAAGGGCTGATTTGAGAGTTTTCCAAAGATTACTATTTTTGTAAGTTTGTGTGGATTTTTGTGAAGAATTCTCGCTGTTTTCCAAAGATTGATAGGAAATACTTGAGATCTACAAGTATTTCCTATCAGGAAACCAACCAACCAAGTCACCTACATGCACCCAATCAGTCATAATTGTCTACTTATACTTGTTCGACAGCACTCAACCATTGGTACTTGAACTACTGTATCAGATTGAGATAATCAATCTACTAGTACTAAAAAAGTCATATATTTGACAACAATATTCAACTAAATAGTCCGCTCTTAATAATAATTATTCAAAATCTCTTTATTGATAGTCAAACTCCTAACTATCAGATCAAAATGAGTAAAGATTGAAGTGTCAAAACACATAATTATGCTAAGCCTTAAATCCAATAAATTACCATTGGGGCCAAAACTTTCTATTTGGCATTTAGTAAATAGAACTAACGTCCTCCATGACGTATATAACTTGACATAAATGAAAAAAAGCAGGTGCAACTTAAATTTCCAGCACTCTTCCAGAAGATGATGGAAATCTTTACCTTGTAAACCGGACCAAATCCACCTTCCCCAAGCAAATTCGATGAAGAAAAGCTTTTTGTTGCTTCTTCTATAGTCTGAAAACTGAACAAAGACACATCGTGCCCACCTTTCTCTTGTTCATGTATAACAATCACTGCAGAAAATTCCCCCGATGAATCTTCACCTCCATTTGCTCCTGTTATTTCCACCGATCTCTGGCGTTTTATCAGTCTTCGATAGAACCCTTTGAAAATTACCAAAGAGATCAAAGTCAGAATATTTGTTTTCTATATTAAGTTCAAGGCAGAAGAAAGTAAGCTCACTTTTCATTCTGATCTTGCACTTCCACATCAAATAAATTCCTCCGACTATTAGCACCACAGCCGATACTACAATGATCGCAATGACATATCCTTCTAATCCCTTCTTATGATCATCTTCAAGAACAGAGAAATATAATTAAAAATTAAGAATTTATCAACAGAGCATATCATAATAATATACAGCAGTGACTAACCAAATTCTGATGCGGCGAGCCGAAGATAGAAATCATTCCCACCACTGGAGAATAAGTGGATGTCGACCAAGTCTCTTCCCCACATTAAACATCCGATCCCTGTTACAAAGCTGTAAGCTTTACAGGAGTAATTTGCCGAACAAGCCACCTCACACTGGCTATAAGTCACAGAGCCCGAATCCCAATAGGACAGATCAGGCAGTTTCACCCCCTGCATCAAATAGAACCCGTCTGGCTGACCACCGGCGGTGGCGCTGCTGCTTTTGTTTCTTTCACACTGCAGTGGCGTCCTCCTCACGCACCCACCGGACAAGTTTTCACTCTCCCTCTCGAAACCTTTCAAACAACTACAGGTCGGCGATTTGCCATCGGCGCTATTCGTGCAGGTCGCATTGTTTCCGCAGAAGTTATAAATCTCGCATTGAGTGATCGGCTGCGCCCAGAACTGATACCACTTTTCAGTATCGTTAGCCCACACAAGATGGCGTTCGATGCCGTCAGGATTGAGAACGTAGCGGTGAGAGCTGTTAAATTGCGAGTAGTAGAAATACATCTTCTTCTCCTGCTCGAAGTTGCTGAGTTTGAAGCCGTAGATGTATGTAGGCACCATGTTCGGTATTCCTATGAACACCTGCCCGTCCCACCGACCAGAGCGCCACCTCGGTTTGCTTCCTTCCCATATGAAGATCTGGGTCGACTGGTCCGGCGCTACGCCCATGGAGAAGTTCCCCGTTGCCGGGTCATCCACGCTGCGCCAGGACGTGAAGACCTGGTTCACGTTGGTGATGAGGTCGAGGCCGATCTTCATGCCGGGGAGGTAAGTGTCGGTGGGATGGTCGAAGCTCTGCCACACATTGGAACCGGAGTTGTTGAGCATAAGATTTCCGGTGTCCAAAAGCTCTGCCGTGGATTCATTCGACGACAAGGAGGTAACATTTGATGACCAGAGAACGGCCTTGCGGCCATCGAGGACGACAAGGTTGCCGTCCCCTGAGATGGAGAGGGAACCTGAGGTGTCGAGAACAGGGGACTCGCGATTGGCGACCCAGAGGACAGTGGAGGTGGAGAAGTTGTGGTACCAGATGCCAACGTAGCGGTTTGTGGAGTTGCCGGGGCTGAAAAAACCGAGCTCGAATATCTCGCCGGGGGAAACGAGGGTGGCGCCATCAGTGAGGGGTTTGCCGGGGGAAAGCTGCGAGCTTGGTCCTGCTTTTGTGGTGGGAAGGAAGAAGATGGAGGCGAAGAGGACGGAGGAAAGGATAGTGGCGAGAGTTGAATCGCTGAATGGGTAAAAGCCACTCATGGTTTCCCCCTCAGACGAATGTGAATCCGATTGGATTTTATACGTTACAAATTCCTTAAAAAAAGTTGACGCCTTTGGAGGCAGAGCACTAGTGGGCAGATGGCGCAGCCGACAAGTTTGAAGCTTTGAATGGCGACGAAAAGTGGATAAATATTTATGATCTGAATTCTATTTGAGAGATGAAAGGGGATGACAACACGCGGCTAAGAGATTTTATTTTCCAATTTTCAAAAGTTGTTTTTGAAGAAAAAAAAATTTAATGGAGACAAAATCCTAAATAATTATTAAAAAAACTGAGTTACAATTTTCATAAGCTATTATCGAAATTTAATAAACTCAGCTCATCTTCATTTTTTAATTGAGAGGCTATCAATCAGAAACTCTTAAATTTTTAATCTATATATTTATTTTTATAAGTTTATAAGAGATTGAAATTATTTACTTGAAAAACTCAAAAAGGAAAAAAAATCACACAGTCTAGCTTAGTTGAATAAATATACTAAATAATGGATGATATGCAAAATTTTATTTGGCTCAGAATTAAAGAATATGATATCATGCATAGTTAAGAATTCTTTTGATCTATAACCTTTCAACTCCTCTTCTTATAAATAATAAAACTATATTTATAGGCTTGTTGAAAGGGGCCCTTATAAGTAGAAAAAATTTATTCCTCCTGTTGAGAATTCAAATATTTCTTTGGAAAGAAGCCTTCCACTGCCTTGTATAGATAATGCATAATTCGTCATTTGCATTAGCGCATATCCTCTTTAATATCCAGTGCTCCTCCTTGAAGAGCAATGAATAATTCTTCATGAATGTAGTTGCGAGAAAATTCATCTCTCAAATCTTTTTAATAGATTTTGATTCTATCTCCTAAATGAGGTATGCCATTGCCTTGTATTTAGGCGATGTATAATCCTCCTTTTGTAGTTTCTCATAAAATATTACCTTTGATAGACGATGGAAGTCTCGCTTATATACTCTTGTGCTCTTTCAAAAGTAAGTAATTATTCTTCATGGATGAAGTTTGTTGTGTGCTTGATATCCATGCATTATTAAGACAAGAAATTTACTCACTCTACTGTTAGGACAAACCACGTAAAAAAGATTGGGTGTTTTACTTTCTCTCTTTCTGCTTGTGTGCTTGATATTTGTGCATTACTAAGACAAGAAATTTACTCACTCTACCGCCGCAAATATCTTAGCCCACAACAAAGTTATAGGTGATAACCAAAATTTTCAGTATCTTTAGTGGAGTTGTAGTCTTTCTTTTGAATGAAGGCTAGCTATCTCTATTTCAGAGAATCACCATTAAAAAAATTCACATTATTTTGAAGCTCCAATTCTCTCGCAGTATAGGGGTAATTATTGTAAAAAAAAATTCATCAGTGATAATGTAAAAGTTAAGTTCTTTATATGTTTTTGAGGCAAATTTGAAATCTTCAAAATATTACCCTGTTAGTTGAAATTTTATACTAATATCGAACTCGAAGAGTTAAAAGTTCGTAAGAAACGATAGGGCTGCAAATGAACCAAGCGTTCGACGAGCTACTTGTGGTTCGGCTCGATAAAAGCTCATTCATATTCCTTTGATAAGGTAAACGAATAAGCTTGAACATTTTTGATAAAATACTCTAAATAAACAAGCTTGAACAACTTGACATTCAATTCATTTATTTTCATTAACAATATCATTTGATGCTTGTGAACAAACTCATTAAGAAGCTCAATTATATTTCTACTAAGAAGCTCGATTATAACTTTATTAGAGTTTTAAAAATTTAATATTTTTAAATTTAATTTTTTTTACTTCCCACATCTGCTTAAAATCATGAACAACCCAATGTCTGAACAAATATAAGATGAATCATAGATCGTTTGTGCGTGAATGATCTCATTTGATAGCTCGAAATACTAACTAGATATATTCATGAACAGGCCATTTGATAGCTCAAGAATATTCATTAGATAAGTTCATGAATTAGCTTGTTTCATAGTTTAAAAAATTTCGTTAGATATGTTCACAAACATGCTAGATGTATTTGTTTGTTAGAATAGTTGATATCTCGTTTGTTAAATTAATGCACATCTAGAAGTAGAGCTCGTTTATAGCTCCATAAGGCTTGTTTATTTAAAGCTCGATAAGCACAAAATGAATCGAATATGAATCAAACATGAACACCCATTAATTTAAACAAACCAAGGTTGAACACAAATAAAAAAACTCGAATCAAAGTCAAACCAAACTTAAACAAGTTGATAATAAATGAACTGAAACATGAACAGACACATACTAAGCTCGGCTCGGAACGTTTGCAGCCCTAAGAAACGCCAAAATATTTTATCGAAAGAAAATTTTTAAAAAGACGAAAAATCATGATATCTTAACCCCCGTTGAATGAATTCACTAAATGATAGAAGATACAATAACATACAGTTCCATGCAATTCAAAAATATGTAAAGATATAAAATTGAAAATAATTATCTACTTAATATATATATATATATATATATATATACTCTCAGGTGTGAAAATATTTTTTTTTTCTAAAAATATAATTATAAAAAAATCAAGATAAGATAAAATTTATTAAAACTTTATGATATTAATACTAGTTTTGATGTAACTCATATTAGAATATCTTTATGTAAAATTTTTCTCTTAATATTCCTATGCTTATAATGTGGAATTATGAATTTTAAAGAAAAAGAAATGTATTAATTTAAAATTAAAAAATTCTTACATTATTAAATTTATTATTTTTTATTATTGTTGCGAGCTAGAATATATGTGGTAATAGAGTTATAATTTTACGTCTTAGCGTTGCACGGATATCCAACTCACACACAAAGAACACAATATTTTTTATGTGGAAAATCCGAGAAAAGGAAAAAACCACGAGTCTATCTGAGTTGAAAATGATTCCACTAGAATTTGAGCAAAGCACAATGGTCTGACTCGTCCTTGAAGACGACCATATTACAAAAATCAACTGAAAGTTTCGCAAAAATCCAGTGTCACTCCAATGTCAGGTGGTGGTCAGACAGCACTCCGGTGTCAGGCGGTGGTCTGACAGTAGCACTTTAGCATCAGGAGGCAATCCGACTTCGGGTGGCACTTTGACGTCCTTTGATGGTCTAGTGGTTATTCGACAGAACTCCGGCGTCCCTTGGTGGTCCGGCTGTGATTGAATAGGATCTAGGCGGCTGGAGCATTCTTCTTTCTCTTCCTTCTTCTCTCTTGGGTTCCCTCCTTTGTTCAAGAGGAAATGAGGTTTTATTTATAGAATTCTTGAGTGACATGACTTGTAAATAAGTGGAAGATCAAGGGTAAATTAGGAGTGTTTCGGATGACCAATCTTGATTCCTACAATCATGCACCGTTCAATCGACTTTTGACTGTCTTAATGATATCATAATTTGATGATATTAGGCTTGTTGGATTTGTCTCGTCGAGCCGCTCGATTCGACTATAAACATGTCATGATTGGAGACCGTTTAGCAACCCAAATTGTGGTTTGATCTTTCCAAAAGTGTTTCGAGTCTTTGATTTGGACTCATTTGAGCTCGGATTGGGTCGATTTTGATGTCGTTGGTTTGTATTTTCGAGACGCTCAGTTCAACTGTAAGTTTGCAGAGATCAGAGT